GAGGGGAAGAGCCAGGGCCAAAGGTGAGGCACATCAAGCACATAATAATAATTTTAATCTGAGGATAAAACATGTACTGAAGCTGAAAGACGCTTCAGTGCTCTCAGAAGACTAAAAAGATGGCTAAGGTTACCAATGACTCGAATGAGATTAAACAATGCTGCTGTATGCCATGTCCACCAGGAGAGACTGGACAGTATAGATGTAAAACCAATAAAAAGAAACCGGGCAGGGTTCGGTGGTTGAATCATCCGTCCCCACCAGTGTCAAAACCAAATCTACGCCCCTGGGCTGAGGCATTCCAAAAATTGAATATCTTGTTTGGCCATGAAGTTTTCTGACACCTGTGTTTAAATGACAGTGAAAAATGCTGCAGGCTCGGTTTATGTGAAACCCTTGGATCAGGTAGATTTTGGAAATGCCTCACTGCAGATTTAGGAGATGGAGCTGTACAGCAGTACAGAGAGAAAGCTGAGCAAACAAGACAGCAGAGGGGAGAGGGAGACAAGCTGAGCAAGCTAGAAGCAACAAAAAAAAAAAAGCATGAAAAAGGTTTGAGTGAGGGGGGAAACATTACCGAAGGAGCAAGGCAGAGGTGTCAGACTTCAGCTGTTTGTTACAGAGACTGATTCAGTGCTGCAAAGAACAACAACAGAATTCAGATTATCTAATACAAGTAGTGCTGTGTGTGCCTCAAAGAGGGCCTGAGGAACCAATGGAGTGTGCTGCACAAACACAAGCCCGGCATGTTGTACCTATAAACAGTAATCAGCGGGTGTTAATAGCTAGACAGCCAGCAATTACATTCATCAAATCGAGTTTAACGCTCTATTGTGGCCAAGGTCACGTCACAGCTGTGAATCATTCTGCTGCTGGTCACCTCTGTGGTGATTTACTCCCATCTAGTGGGCAAAACAGAGAACAAAACTACTGCCCTGAAGGAAAATAAATCAGATAGCTGCTGTCTAAAAGTAAGTGCGCTCTTTTTCTAACGTTTGACATACTAGGAAGTATTTTAAAAAATCCTCTGATCCACAGGTCCTAAGATTATTAAAACACAACCTCAAATGAACAACACATGACAGATTGCACTGTTCAATTATTTATTTAACAATGATTAACATCAAATGCAGAAGCAGTGTATAAAAAAATAAGTGCATCCTTAGTGCTTCCATCCAGCCAAGTCTTCATCTGTTCCCAGTTTTTTATATCCTGTTTTATTTTGGCAACCTTTTGCTCAAGTCTTCCTTGTTGTAGTTTTACTTCCTTTGTCTTCATTAATGTCAGCTGTTCTCACTTCCTTTAACTGCCCTCTTTTTGTATATACTTTGGCATCTTGCTGTGTTTCTATGTATGCTTCCTTGCTTATGTTTGGATTGAGTTTGGTAGTTAGTGTGAATGCTTGAAAAGCATTCACAGTATTGTTCTTCTAATCTTTATTCTTCTATTTTATTATTAT